CTTTTCCATACTAATTGCTTTGTATTCCTATACAGCTAAACACGTGCAATGAGAATTTTATTGTGGTTTGGGAATATAACCTGTGAAACAAAACTTCCATTTTATGCGATTCCAAAACACACAATGGATTTGCACATTTGCACATGACTGGTCGACACACCTAGTTGTTTTGTCAGTGTGTTGTTTCTTCTCACGAGGGATCTCGAGTTACCTATCCCATCTATTGATCGGTGTTTATAGCTTATCATCAGTTTACACCTGGGTAGCATATATCAAAACTGTCATGGTGATGTAATACAGGCCTCATAAGTAGACAAGTTGAGCTCGCTCAATACAAGAGAATATATATACATATATGAGCTTAGAAAAGTCTCGCCCAAAGCAGTATATAAAATAACTGATATGACAGACAGGCACCAGTGATATTTCCGAGAAAATGTATAATTTGTTTTAATGGATGTCACGTTGTTCTTTTTCTCGAGAGCAACAGGCACTTAGCAAATTAATCGAAAATGTAAAATTAGCTACTGCTGGTGAAACATTAATAAACAAAACACCATTAGCACAATGAACAATGTGGAGTAATAATGAAATTGTCATCATCTAGCTTTATTTTTTTATAAACTGAAAATTTTGATCAGATGAAACTGTAACGTACTTCAGCTTCAAATATTTAATACTTATGTAACATTTCTATTACAGAAATTTCTTAACGGAATCACTTTTCTACATGAGTGATCATATTAGTGTCGTATATTTTGTTAAGGATATCTTAAAATTTTGCCACCTTCATGGAAAGAACAATATATATATAACTGGAATAAAAAATTACTCAGTAACAGTCCTATAGTATAATTGGGTACATACGAGTCACGAGTACCTATGACATGTCACTATATTCTGTTTTCCCACATTGCCGGTAATAAAATAATGAGTGAATAACGTTTTATGAACCTTTATAATGTAATAGTCCTAAACTATTATTGGGTACATATGAGTCACGAGTACCTATGACATGTCATTATATTCTCTTTTCCAGCATTGCCGGTAATGAAACAATGAATGAATAACGTTCTATGAACATTTATAACATGATGGTGTTAATATACGGCTGCAACAACCACTAGTTTTAACATTTATAAGAAAACTATGTGACAATATATTAATCAAGCATAATAAATAAAAGTTTCATGATATAAAAACCTACATAGTTTTTTTTTTCTCAATAATAACAAATATATTAAACTTAGAATTAATTTTGAGAAAGAAAAATTTTATTTCCTATCCTTCTTTATCACTAAGTGATATTGTCCTCAGGTAATTTTTCATACCTCAGATGATATTATCTTCAGGTAACTCTTCATACACTAGATGATATTACCTTCCCTCGGTTATAGAGGTGTTTAATATTTCTAATTATTTCTGTTTCCTTTTGTATTCTTACGGCAAGTTGTATTGCGGTCTGAAAATTTAATCGGTACAAAATAGTGCGTTCTATTTCACAAAAAAATTAATGATGGTAGTTTTGGGACTGCTTATGATAAAGTATGTTATAGAATAGAAACTTGAATTGTAACATTTTCCAAAAAGAAATATTACAAAAATTGCGGTAAAAATGTAACGTGAGCTATGACTAACCAGCATGTGGATGATGTTGCTGAATGAAACCACGTTTAACCTTCCTTACGTGTTGCTGTAAAACGTGGTATTATTAAAGTTGCTTTTAATCACTGGATATCGTGCAAATCGTAGTTTTCAAGTTATAATGAAACTATAATTATAAATCTAAACACCTATGTACCTTTTAGCCTTGTTTCAGTGCTATGGCTTTAAATTAGTTTTAAAAGCTTACAGGAAGTTCATATATTCGGTTAAAGAGAACGGCTTGCGAGAATCAACAAACGAGCCACTGCAAGGCGCGCTCATCACGGCACGCGCTTGACAGCCTAGTGACAGAGTAATTGTGTCACATCAGTTGATCCTAAAACTACCTACATGATGGATAGTTCGGGCGGGAATAGGGAATAGACAGATTTTCTTTTGTTTTGTTTGCACATTAATTTAACTGCGAAATATTCATACGATATTGATTTGGTCTTTTCTCGCGCCCCCTACTTTTAACAGACACAAACACATTGGCAAAGTGAAATTAAGCTTTCTATTCTACTTGATTCGTCTTCAACCACATCGAGATTTCTATTTCACTCCATTTCATTTATCAATACCCTCAAACGATATAGTTTTTAGAACATTATAATAACAAGTATCATGTGAACAGATCAAATTTCTGGAGTTTATCAACAAATGACTTTTACAATGCATTTGGATGAAATTGTCTTTTAGATGTTAAAGTCTACCATGTAATTAAGGTGGGCAAGTAGTGTTGCGTTGCATTACTTTATTTATTCAAAAAATATCTAGTTAAAGCAAAAACAGATTAGATTTATCAACAGCAAGACGTTGGAAACTGTAGGCTTTTCAAATTAAAAACTGTCTTCCTATTTTCGACTCACATTTCCAATTTTATACAGAAGGAACGGATATTGTTTTTGTGAGTGAGCTATATCCTTGTTCCTATTTTCTTATTCAGGTGTGCGGCAATGAATATAGGGCAGATGAAGAGTCTTTACACTATACATCTTGGCGTTCGATAATACTAAAAGTTAAGGAATTTTAAACAACACCAATTCAGTAAAGAGATTCGCGCACAAATACTGATTTTAACATCGGAATTACAAGGCTAATATTAATTTTCATTTTTCTTTGGGAAACGAAAGATATAATCCCAAGTAATGAGCTAGCCACTTGAGTAAACAATAAAAAAAATCCTATCAGCAATAATGATAACGGGACACTTCAGAAGACTTCAAACACTTGAAGTAGACTTGCGACCGAAATGTTAAGTGGATGTGGAATATTTTAAGGGTCGTGACAGATTTACTATCATATATCTATTTTAATATCAATGTTTGTTCAAGTTAAATTTATATGTAGAAATGTACATAACTTATACTGTTAAATCTGTATTGTGACATTCCCGCCTATTCACTAAAACTGTAGAAAATTCTTTAGTGTAAGAATCAACAATATATATGGTGTACGTTAACACTGGTTGTTCGTTTGTATTGTTGTGTAAGCAGAAAGTTCGAGAAACTCTCCTCACGCCTATAAATATAACTAACGCGACGCGCCAAAGACAGTATATATTATTAGTTCGTATAGTCAGTGTGCTATAAACTTCGAAAGCTATAACTGTGATTGTTATAATGCTTATTAATCGGGAACTTCAGATATTTGACTAGGAAGGTTTATAGATTTCGAATATTACAAACCATTTAACTTCAGCGGATTAATGTAGGACATTAGCATTTTTACGAAAACATTATATGGATAACTCGGTGTGTGTGGCCAGCGAAGAACGAAGAACAAAACTAGCTAGCTCCCTGTTAAGTGATTTGTATCTACATCTACTCAAAATTAATTCGCTCATCCTGAACCCTCGATAAAATATCAAGGAAGTTCCAGACCAGCTATAGGACTCAATATTGTTTGTAAGTTTGTAAAACTTATGTACATAGATCATTATTTGTAATAACCGTTATTGTAAATTGTGATATTGTCTATATATTAAAATACATTTGTATTAAAAAACTGTATGTATCAATCTCGTTAACATGTATCATAAATTGGATACATTCGACATTTATTTATTTTATAAATCTAAATTATCATTTAACTCAGTCTCAGGCTATTCGTAATTGTAATACGTAACAGGGTTTACTGAAGTAAATAAAGAGTAATTTTATTTTTTATAAAAAGAAGAAAATTTATATATTTCTTCCGTGGAAGCACCAAACCTGACCCTCCCTGATCCCGATAAAGAGAGAGCATATATCTTCCTTTAACAAATGCTAAATCTCCACAGCAAACGTAACGTCGGCCATAGAGGTCTCTTTGGAGGATCATTTTACCCACAATGCATCATAATGTGACTTTTTTTTTTACCTGTTACATCAATAGTAGCTGTTTGAAATATACATATTATTTACAGTTTTCTTAGATCTAGTTTTGTGCTTTGGTATTAGTTCAAAGATACGTACATGTAAAATGTATCATTATGTTAATGTAAGCAGCAGGTACGAATACAAAAATCTTGAACTGGCTGACACGAATTATAAAACATTTCGATTATGCACAAAACTCACGAAATATATCCATTACAACATTCTGAAGCATTGGATAACATATTCATTATCGTATCAACTAGAATAAGTTATTGGTTAAGTCAATGAGTTATGCTAAAATATAATTACTGCACATTATGTTTTAACATAACTCATTGACGAAAAATCGGTATAATCGGGGATACTTACAGACTACTGTTTGATAAAAGGTATAGGATAACACACTATTACATGATGTAAATCTGGATAACTCGTGGGTTAGTTAGAAGTATTAGCTAGGATAATAGATTGGTTATTATGTTATACAGATTACGATAACCAATTGACTGATATATGCATAGCCTACGATAATACATTAGTTACTGAATAAAAAAGTAGGCTAGCTATTGACTTTTGAAGGATATGACTTAAGATAACTTACTGATTATTCTTTGATATAAGTTAGAATAACCTAGGGAATCGTCAATGATATAAATTAGAGTAACCTACTGACTTTCTATTAATGTAAGTTATGGTTATCTATTGACTCTTTATTAATGTAAGTTAAGATAACCTACTCAATCTTAATTTATATAAGTTAAGATAACCTAATGACTTTTTACTCATATAAGTTAGGATAACCTATTAAATCTTAATTTATATAAGTTAGGAATCTTAATTTATATAAGTTATGATAACCTAATGACTTTTTACTGATATAAATTAGAGTAACCTATTGACCCTCTATTGATATAAGTTAGGATAACCTATTGACTTTTTATTGATATAAATTTGGATAATATATTAACTCATTATCAGGTTTTTATGTGTGTATGGGCCGGATTCTTTACACTAGGTGTCTGTGACTTGTTGGTGACAAATTTCAACAATAAACAGACAGCCTACAATCAACTTGGTTTAAAATAATATATTCAACACAAGTCAAACATATGTACAAAAATTCGTTGCACTATTGATTATCACAATCAATAATTGTCTCTTTTTCGTCAAAGTCTACAGCGGCGGGTTCAATTACTATACAACACAAATTATTTTCCTGTACTATGTTATCACAATAAACTCAGTGATAAGTTCGATTATGTTACCGCGTGGGTTACCAAAGTTGTATCAGACTGGTTCAGTTACTTTAGAACCCAATTGATCAGACAAACTATTCTTCTCTACTATGTTATTACAATACAATCTGCGATTATTACTTTTTAAAAAATCGTCATTATAAACACTTTATGGCTGAGTTCACGATCACCCAGTCTAACTTCACTTTTTTTCACTAACTTACTTACTGGAATTAACTTGGTCTACTATATATATTGCCTGACTGAGGCCTAAAGCTTTCTACAAACTACCGGACATTATGATGTAACAATACTCACATAGAGCAACGAGAAAAATTCAGAAGGTTCGAGTAACATGACGTCAATTCACAACAATTGAACTACACAACATTCGTAAACAGTTACGTAAGCAAACTTGCGAAACTACCGCTTCTAAAAATAAATTACTTTAACGCTCGCACAACATAAACTAAACATAAACTTAATACTTTCGGATTAAGCTTAAAATGAGCACTAGTGTATATTTAATAACAACCCCATCTTCAAGAAAAATATTTAAAATGTTTTTATATTATATACAAGGATGATTCTCAGCTCATGCATAAAGTTTACTCATACATTCTGCACCAACATTTGCAATCCCCTTTATGGTCTTAATGCAGAACTGATAGTTCTGGAGATACAACACCTACCTCATGATCCTCGCACTGTCGACTTTGCATCTCTGTATATATCGAAGGAGCTGATGGTCTGTCTGGATGATGAAATCTTTTCCACAGAGGTAGTTCTTGAACTTCTGGATGGCACATATGATTGCTAGACACTCTAATTCGATCACAGAGTAGTTTTTTTTCACTACTTAACAGCTTTTTTTTTACATACATTAAATCTTTTGACACGGGGTCGGTCGATTTCATCGAGTCACGTGACCTTCTGTACTCGTTTAAAGTTGACATCAATTTAATACTTATAACTCTCTATATATTGGGTATATCTTCACGAAATTTGGCAGTCTTTCAGTTAATATTACAAGTCTTTCACATACAAAAAGTTATATTTCTTAGTAAAGTACTTTTAATAAAATAAAGTATTGTCCATAAATATAGTGAGTATTTGTTTTGAATAGTCCGTGTGCAAAGTAATTTTCATGTTGAAATTAAAAATACTTTTCGCCATCTCAAATTTCCTTTGTGTAATTCCTAAAACCTCTTAAATGCATTTCGAACGTTTTTTTTCACTAAATCCTTATAGTTTATATGTTATTTTCTCTACCCTAATCTCAAAAATAGATCGGTCAATTCGACCGACCTCATAACCACCAAAAAAATCGAAATAAACCTAAATTACTAGCATCACAATCCAATATGTACGGCAGTGAGGAATTTGGAAGCTTTAAAAGTGGGGCTGAGGCCAAATTTTCTTTCAATGTCTTGAAAACATGCTGGCAAGAAACTGTACATTCAGACTTCTGGCTTTTTTATTTGTCAAATCATGTAGTGGAGCAGCTATAGTTGCAAAGTTTTTCACAAACTTCCATTAATACGTACAGAGTCTCAAAAACTTCTTAACTCACATTGTCTGGTGTTGGCCAATCATGCACTCCTTTCACTTTGTCAGGATCAGTTCGCACACCATGCTCACTTACAATGTGACCCAAGTAAAGCACCTCTTTCTGGAACAAGTGGCATTTCTTTGGATGGGGTTTGAGGTTTGCTGCTTTCAAATGTTGAGTACTTTCTATAGTTAGGATACTTCCTCATCAAATATTGCTGCAACACAATTACATCATCCAGGTACACTAGAGCTATCCTCCATTGTAGGCCTTCCAGTTCTCTTTCCATCAGCCTCTCAAATGTTGCTGGTGTATTGCTAAGCCCGAATGGTATCACACAGTATTGCCAGAGACCTTGGCCATAACTAAATGCAGTCTTAGGTTTATCTGCTTCAGCCATTTTCAGTTGATGGAAACCCGACTCTTTTCAACCTCTCTTTTAACAGTTACCGGAGTTTGGCCTTTGTTGTTTCCAATCGTCATTTTATCGAAGTTAACTACACACTTCCTCGGTAGTAAATAGTCCAGTCCTAACATGCATTGGTCTTCAATGTCAGCCAAGTATAGTTTGTGTCTGTTCTTCATGCCCATGAGCTCAATTGTTGCCCACAATGGTTCCCACAACCTTGCACAATATCCTGTCACACCACAGAACTTCTATATGGCTTCTGGTACTCCTTTCTGATCCAACACAAGGGTTTTCTGAGATGCGGAATCTATGACAAAGTTGCGGTTTTGGCTATCCAGCTTTCCTGTCACATAGACACTATGTGTACTTGCTATATTACACTTAGCTGTTGGGACTTTCACGATGAGGGTTGGTGGGTATCCCTCAACACCAACCCCTACTGGTTTCCCGAAGCTGACTTATTGGTAGTATTCTTCTTACACTGGCTCCTCATATTTTCTTGCTCTCCACAGTTCCAACAACCTTTCTGGGTAGCAGCCTTTCCTGCTGTGACATCTTCCCTGTGTTGAAGTTGCCAGCATTGAGATCTCTTGTGCCCAGGTTTATGAAAGTGCCAGCAAAGTCCCGCAAACTTCTCTGAAAGCTTCCCTTGAATCCTGATGACTGTACCAACTTTGGTATCTCTGTGCTGGACTTAACGTAGGATTCAAATTCAAGAACTCTGGCCATTGCATCCTGCATAGTAGAGTGGTGTGCTTGCTTTACTTGTATCTTCAGTTGTAGACTGTCCAAGGCCTCTACAAACTGATCCCTCAGCAACATCTTGAGGATATTGGGTGGCACATTTGGGTAGGCCTTGTGTGCCATACTTTCCAAATCCTGTGCCAGCTCTTGCAGGTACTCCCCTTTAGCACGGACTCTCGTCCTAAACCTAGCCCTGTAGACTTCGGACTGATTTGGGGTTTCATACCTTAGTTCTAGAGCCGCTACCAGTGCTCTATAGTTGTGTCATTTGTCTGCTGACAAGTGTCCAAGTATTTCAAGTGGTTGTCCCTTCAAGCTCGTTGCCAGATATACTGCTTTCTGCTTCTCTGTCCATCCATATTGCTGACATTCATATCTGGGATGTGACTTCTAACAGGACTGAAGATGTCTGCATTAGGGTCTATCTACGGGGTCTGGAAGGGGCTTCCCGTTGCCCGAGGCTGATTAGGTCGATGGCTAATATATCCTCCTTGTGTAAAATACAGTAAATCATCCTTTAATGTATTTAATTCACTTTGTACTTCTTGCCACTGTTGTTGACTTTCCTGTAGTTGCTGCTGACTTTCCTGCAACTGTTGGAGACTTTCTTCCTGTTTCCTTTCTTGTTCCACTTGCCACTGCTGTAATCTCTTATCTTGTTTATTTTGCTGTTCGACCTGCCACTGTTGCAGGATTTCTTGTCACTGCTGTTGTCTCTCTTCTTGTTTTTCTTTTTCCTCCAACAACTGCTGTAATCTCTCTTGTTTATTTTGCTGTTCGAGCTGCCGCTGTTTCGGGTTTCCTTGCGAATTCTGTTGTCTCTCATCTTGTTTGTTTCTCGCTCTTCTTGTTTCTTTTCTTTATCCTCTAACAACTGCTGTAACCTCTCATTCCTCCAACAACTGCTGTAAGCTCTCTTTTTGTTTCTTTTCTTTTCCTCCAACAACTGCTGTAATCTCCCTTCTTGTTTCTTTTATTTTCCTTCAACAACTGCTGTAATCTCTCTTCTTGTTTCTTTTCTCGTTCTTCTTGTTTCTGTTCTTGTTTATTTTCTCGTTCTTCTTATTTCTTTTGCTGTTCTTGTATTGCTGCCATCAAATCTGCTAAGCTTTAGTTTGATTTTCCAATTCTCGTTTCCATTTTTTTCTGTCCCACTCTCTGACACCAATTTGTTACGTCTCTGTTCATTTGTTAATTTCCTGTATAATTTCTTTCAGATGAAACTTTAGCAATACAAGTCCTTTCTTAAATAAAACTAGTTTATTCTTTCTCAATACAATTTTGCAATACACTTAACTTCCACAGTGACTTTAACTTAAACACACGCTATAATTCACAACAATTCACGCACTTTACTTACGGTCACTACCGCGCTTGACTCACTTGTCTGTCCCTATCTCTGCCTGTCTGCAATAATCTATATAGTCACTTCTTGCCATCTTATATATTCAAAAATAGAGGATATCTGGCAAACACCAGAGCCGCCAAGAACAGTCATGATCCTTCTAAAAACTCACGACGTGTCACCAGCGTCACGTGACTTCCGCTGTCGTAACAATATATAGGCTAGATTATGTTTGTTTATAATGATAATATGGTCGAGCTTGGGACATCTTATCTCTAATATGTATTAAACGTTTTTCCTGGGTACTCTGGGTAGCATAGTAAAAGTAAAAAAAGGTGTTGTCAACAAGAAGAATAATTCAACAAACATCCTAAATTGTAAAGTTTTTTCAGTTCTAAGCCTACCTCTTGGAGCAACGCAGGCTTGCTCCCTTTATCACCAACGTCCAGCTCTACAAATTTGTCATCTTGTGTAGTCAAACAGATTGCAAACACTGCATTCCCGGCTTAAATCCTTAGAGTAGGTGTCTGCGACTTGTCAGCAATGAAACTTCAACAATAAACAAACAACACACAATCCACTTGTTTTAAAATAATAAATCAAAACATGTCAAATGTATATGCAAATGTTTGTTGCACAGTTAATCACCACAGTTGTATCCAGAGCTCTAAATAATTGTATCTTTTAATCAAAGTCCATATATGCTGGTTCAGTTACTTTATAGTACAATTGATAAGACGAATTATTCTTCTCTGTTCCGTTATTACAACACAATCGGCGATAAGTTCATTTACGTTACACTGTTGGTTACCACGGATGTATCCAGAGCTTGAAATAATTCTATTTGCTTCGAAAGTCCACACAAGTTTGTTCAATTACTTTAGATCACAATTGACAAAACAACTTATTCTTCTCTACTCTGTTATTGCAATACAACATGTGATACTTTCACTATAAAGTCGCCGATATACGCTTTCTATAGCTAAACCCACAAATATGCAATCTAGAGTTTTTGTATTATATCTTTCACGATCTTACTTGAACTACATTTTGGACGCATATTTATAAAGAGCCCGGCTGAAGCCTAGAACTTTCTATACACTACGAGATATTACGATGTAATAATACTCGATCAAAACAACGAGAAAAGCTTAGAAGGTTGAAGTAACATGACACACAAGAATATAAGTGCTAATTCACAACAGTTAAACTAAACAAACCTGCGATAAATTGTCGCTTCTAAAAACAACTTAATTTAATACTCGCGCTATGCTTAAATTAAAATAATTGTATATATCTAGCACTTTACCTTCTGAAGCAAACAATGACCATACTCCTGAATCGAAAAATCACGACCAAAATTTCAGTAATGTTGAAGAATTGAATAATGATATCATAGCTGGAAATTCTGAGAATATTGTTCAAGATGAAAATGAACCCCCCACAGAGAACCATGTTGGTTACTATAATCTGGTTTGATGACTACTCAGTGGCGGAACCTGATCATATCATTACAAACGGGCCTTTCTTATTAATAAACAGTACAATTTTCCAAAAGCTGGAATTTAACGTAGTTTCTCTGTTATCAGAAGTGGTTTGAAACAATCTTGCGATTATATCACCTGCAATGTTAGCAAACAAAACTATAGATAGGGAAATGCAGTCATAGATGAAAAAAAAAACGAGATCATTGGAGTAAAGACTTGTAACGTTTAATGAGCATAACTCTTTATGTAGCTGAACACGATTTGGCTTTCAGAGATTATTTACAACAAACAATAGGAATTTTTAGGTCTTGTTCAGTTATTTGGAAAATCTGATTTGACAATGAATGAAAATTTTCATTGGGTTGTGTCTGAAGACACTCAAATTCGTTATTGTGGTAAAAATGTCCAGAATGAAATAATTAATTTGTTGGGCAATGCTGTTAAAGAAAATATGTTAAGTCATGCTAAAGAAGCCTCATTTTAGACTGTACTCCAGACGTCAGTTATATAGAGTAATTCATTTACAATAAGATTTTTAGATGTAAAAGACACTTCAATCAAGGAACATTTTGCTATAAATCAGTTACAGACTCTACTGGAAAAGGATTGCATGGTATTATACTAGATTTGTTAAGAGAATGAAAGCTGGACTTACAAAACTAAATAGGGCAGGGATACAATAATGGGTCCAATACGAAGGGGGAAAATAAAGATCTTAAAAGAACATGCACGAGCATTTTTTATGCCATGTGTATGTCATCCCCTGAACTTGTAAGTTGGGGATAGTGCTGCAAGTTGTCTGGAATCGACTTCAATACGAGATGATATACTGATATAGAATACGTACTGGTAAAGGAGAGACTTATGTTGATACAAATATGATAATAGAGAGGAGACGTGCACTAACGTACCAATAAAGAAGAAACATATGCTGATATAGAAAACATGTACTGAGGTACTAACACAAAAGAGGCAAGTATTGTTGTACTGATACAAAACAGACAAGTATTAGTACATCAGGAACAAGCATTGACACAGAGAAGACAAGCTGATACAGAAGAAGGGGCACATAATGATGTACCGATACAGAAGATACATGGGAGGCATGCACTATCACAGAAGAAACATGTACTAATATATAACTGAAACTATTGTCATGTATAGCTAAAAGTAGAGAAAGGAATAGTAAACTTTTATATATAAAACTAATTCGATAACCAAAATATTTTAATTGTTAAGAAACTTACACTTGTAAGGCAATCATCGGGCCTGATTACACACCAGTGTGAAAAATTCATTCTGTAAATAAATGTGAAAGACAAGAAAATGACATATAAGAAGAAAAATCTTGAATAATGTGATATATAGCTTAGATGATAGATTTTAACCGGTAGATTATGACAGAATTTGACATTTATCATACATTTGAGACTTTAAATCACAAACATATCTTTTTTTATCAAATATTTTCTTTTTAGGAATAACGAAAAGTGTTATAATCAAATATAAGTGTTTGTACTTTCTTCTTTGTTAACAATGAAAATGTTTCTACATATGTAAATTATCTTTAACCTTGTAATGAATACGTGAATTTTTTTATGTTTTATATCTTTTTTGGTAATAGCATGTCAATTAACGTACATCTCAAAGCTACATATTGTTACGACAGCGGAAGTCACGTGACGCTGGTAACACTGCATGAGATAATTATAGTATTTTGGCACTTGTGTATAAAGTTAAAATCATAAATAATATTCAACTTTAAACTGGTACGTAATTTAAAATACCGCTTAAATGAGCAGAAAGGAGATGTAAAAAATAAAAGATCTGAAAATAACATACAGGTCAATGACCTACTAACAAGCTATATATACTTTGGCAATTGTCTTTTAATTCACTCCTGAGGATGACGTTGTAACGTCGAAACGTGTAGTCGTCAAC